GCTGCGGAGTCACTTTGACGGTGTCCGAGCGCTGGCCTTTCACCCCGTCGAGCCGTGTCTGGTCACCGTGTCTGAGGATCATACGCTTAAACTGTGGAACCTCACCAAGACCGTCCCTGCCAAAAAGTAGGTCATGACATCACACCAATAAACGCGCTGCCGGGATCACCACGGCAACGTAGAAGTGTTGATTGAACTTCCAACAAACACAAACCCGTGACGTCTTTATTCATCACCTGTTTTATCGTGTGGATTTTCAGAAGTGCCTCTTTTGATGTGGAACCAATCTACACATTCAGAGCCCATGTGTACGTTTACACACACACACACACACACACACACACACAAAGTCACTTGGTGTTCATGGCAGGTGTTTAACGACTCCTTGCTCCTCTCTCTGTGACTCAGGGGTCCAGTGTTATCGTTGGCGATGACCTCGAGTGGTGAGCAGTGTTTCAGTGGAGGCATCGACGCCACCATCCAGTGGTGGAACATCCCCAGCTCAAACGTAGACCCCTACGACACCTACGGTACACACAGCTGTTTTTAAGAAAGAGGAAGACAATGATTGTGTAACATAATCAGGTGAGCTTTTTAAACTCCATGTCCACCTGTCCAATCAGATCCCAGCGTCCTCGCTGGCTCGTGGGTGGAGCACACAGATGCCGTTTGGGGATTGGCCTACAGTGGCATCAAGAATCTCCTCCTGTCCTGCTCAGCAGACGGAACAGTCAAACTGTGGAACCCAGCGGAGAAAAACCCCTGCATCAGCACTTTCAACACAAACAGAGGTGAGGCGGAGGAGACGGGGGAGACACAGGGGGAGACACAGGGGGAGACACAGGGGGACCGCAAGATGGAAAAAAACAATAACGTTTGTGCGTCTGTGTGCAGAACATGGGATTCCCACATCAGTGGACTTCAACGGTTGTGACCCCGCCCACATGGTGGCGTCCTTCAACAGTGGAGACGTGGTGGTGTATGACCTGGAGACTTCCCAGAGTGCACTGGTGCTCAAGGGACAGGGAGACAGCAGTAAGACTTCCACAGTGAACAAACGTGTGTCCCTGTCTCACAGTGATGATGTCATAATGATTATGTCATGTCTTCTTCTAAAGCACTGCCAGGGTCAAATCACATCAACAAAGTAGTGAGTCATCCCACATTGCCCGTCACAATCAGCGCTCACGAAGACCGACACATCAAATTCTACGACAACAAGTCAGGTGAGTTCTGGCGTCAGCTTCCTGTTTTCACGTGTCCTGGAAAAACCTAGAAAATCACTGATCAATTTTTAGGACTTGAAAAACATGGAAAATGAGAAATGTCCCTGAAACACTGAAGTCAGTGTTTTTAAACCTTGGGGTCGTCTGAAATATAGATTTAATTTATAGAGAAAATAGTTATTTTTATCAGTTTTTTTATTCATTACTAGAAATAGTAATGAATAAAAAAATACTTTTAGAGAGGATTCAGATGTGGTCATGTCTGTCTTTAATGGGAGATGTTGAAGCCCGTTTCCTCTGCTTCTGTTCACAGTTGATTTTGTCGCTTGATTTAGCCACACCTTCGACCCATACATGTATAAGTGATTAGTATGTAGTCTGTCATGAACCCTGCTCATGTGAACCTCTGACTTCAGCCGGTGTCTGTGTTGTACTCAGCTGGTGGTTGAAAGATTGTAGCAGTGAATGTGGGAAATGTCTGAGTCTCATCCCTGTTAACCCGTGTCATCCAGACCAACAATCATCTGTGTCTGAGCCTCTGCTGAATCTTTGCCTGCAGGTAAAGTCATTCATGCCATGGTCGCTCACCTGGACGCTGTCACCAGTCTGGCTGTGGATCCTAATGGAATCTACCTGATGTCAGGCAGTAAGTTCTATCCCTCGTGATAAAGAATTTAAAAATGTTGTCTCAGCTGTGTCCTCAGGTCCATGTTAGTCTGAAGGTATTTAAAGAAATCTGACAGATTTAAAGTTTTGATTTCCCAGGGTCAGAGTTTATCAGTAAACCCTGGAACTTCTCCTCCTCCTCCTCAGGTCACGACTGCTCCCTGCGTCTGTGGAACCTGGACAGTAAAACCTGCGTCCAGGAGATCACGGCTCACCGTAAGAAGAGCGAAGAGGCCATTTACGACGTGGCCTTCCACCCGTCCAAGGCCTTCATCGCCTCGGCTGGAGCCGACGCTCTCGCCAGGGTCTACGTGTAGACCATAGTGGGTGAGAGAGACTCGGAGAGAGGGAGGCTGCTGAAAGGATTTAGGCTTTCTGAACACAAATCACAGGCGGAGGAGAAGGGCCCGGAGCATCTGCCTCCATGTGACTAATGGGGCAAGTGGTCAGCACAAAACCTGCAGGTCAAAACCTGGCTCTCCGCCCCACAGTGTGGCAACAACACGTCAGTGAAGACACTACACACGCTCTGCCCACTTGTTAGGTTGATTCTGGAATCACAGGGGAGAAAAAAAAAATCCACGGATCAAATAATTTTTGTATCTGAATGCCAAAAAAGCGAGGTGAGGGATGACGCCAGATGGACGTCAGCCGGACGGAGGGAGAGAAGGAACCTCATGTGAAAAGAAAATTTCCTTCAACATTAAAGGGAGCAGGAAGTCAATCACTTGATGCTCAAGTCACTAGTTTTTACCGTGAAACTTTTTACAGCGTTTGTAAAGAGGTTTTCTGACTCTGTCGCAGCTCGTCTCTCTGAGCTGCTGATTGGATGTCAAATGTTGACAGGGGCCAATCAGAGCCCTGCATGTAGACTCCGCCCACTAAGGAACAATGTTCATTTATTTTTTAATTTTGCTGCTTGTTTGTGCAAAAATAAATGATTTTATTTTAATAATTTTTATTATAATTTTAAATCAATGTCTCAGTGAAGACACTGACGAGAACGTCTCCTCAGTCCAGTCCTGCCGTCCAGACAGAGCTTGGCTCCAGTAGCCTGTTCATAAACAGCCCACAGATCTGACCTCTTCAGGTTTTTAGTTACTGTAACGAGGAATATGGCAAGAACAATCTCTGACAGTTGACCAGAGAAGAAATATGGTGTTGAAGAACAAACAGAGAAGTGAGGGTTAAAGGGAGACACTACAAACAGGAAGGTTTTATTTTATATGCTCTTTGAGAAACACATTCAGTCTGAGGATTGAAGGATCTTCAAAACAGCAGCGTCTGGTCCACTGCTGCCTCCAGTGGTCAGTTGGTGACAGGTACATTTAAATGAGGGATTTCATACACTGAAGATATGTTATAATTTAAGCTTCCTGATGGGGGCAGCAGTGGATCAACAACTCTGCTGTGATGTAAAATCACAGATTTTCTTTATGCATGTTGATGAAAGTTGAGAAACTTCACATTCTCTAGGAAAGTACTGTCGTAATACTGAGATAAAGTAGTGACTGTCAGTTCTGACTGTTTTCAAGTACCTCATACAACTTCACTTTCAAAACTCCTGAACTGCTCCTATGACCTCCCAGTTGAGTCATTACAGATAATCCAGATTGACGAAAACCTGGTTTTAATTCAAACCTGACGCTGGTTTGGTGTCAGTTTTTACAGTTTTGTTCACGTTTTAGCACAAAAGTAAGTGACAGTTGTCATTATCTGCAGAAACTGATTTTATTTGACATTTCACACCACGTTGTGTTACCTGCAGCCGTTGTTCTTTACGAAGCACCAGATTTTCGAGAATGGTTTTCATTTTTCCGTACAATATTTCACTGTATCACTTTTATTGGTAACTTGTGTCACAAACATTGAGTCTGAGGAGGAGAAAAAGCTGTGCCCTCGTTAGTTTGTGTTTTTTTTCTTAAGATCCAAGTTAGATTTAATTTAATTCTGTTTCCGTTACAGAAGCATCAAGAGTCTAAATCCTTATTTCCTTTCATTTTCAGTTGTGCAGCGTTTTACCCTGTAACTAAACTTTTGTTTGTATAATGCATGATTAATACAATAAAAGTATTTTTTCTAGTCTTCCAAAAAAACCCATAAAAAGTTCTGATCAGTTTGAGAGTTTTGAGTTTTGTAAGTTTTTTTTTTGTTGTTGTTGATTTTCAAACCCTGAAACAACAGATTTTAAGATTGTACCACATAGAAAAACAACTGTTGAAATGTATATAAAATGTCTATAATAACTATTAAATGTTGTACCTGTACAGACTCTGCTGCTCTGCTTCATGGTTGCTATAAAAAAGGTTGAAGCTTTTCAAAATAAAACTGGTGATTTTTATTTTCGCAATCAGTAAAAGCAGTTTTTTGAAAAAGTTCTTGGGCCCAAGCTCTTGGAGGAAAATAGTTTAGGAAATAATATAAGATGATAAATGTGTGGGAGGAGGAAAAGAAGGTGAAATGTACAAAAACATTAAAAAAATAATTTGAATATTTAATGTCACGTGAGAATCAATCCATTACATACTGCATACCCTTTTGGGGCTGCGGCGGGCGCTTGAGCCCTGGACATTTCACCAGTCAGTCGCAGGGCCACATATAGGTACGAACAACAATTCACACAAAAACAATCTTAATCCTTAGTTATTTTCAAAAATGTTCCTGTTTGTTTATGATTAGGTCAGGAAGAGTACTGATTTAACATTAACCAGATATTCAAATGATATATTTAATTATTTAAAATTTAGGAGGAGTAATCAGAACAGAACGTTGAATTTTAAAATTCAAACAAATAAAATAGTCATCACAAAATGACCACACGAGGCAGCCTTAATGTCACTGTGAGTTAAAACGACTTATTTTCTGTATGGAGTTTGGTGTAGGAGTGACTGGTTCATGAGGTGTTTCGTCACCTTCACTGACATCCTGTTAAAGTGAGTTCTTTATGGCGTGAACAGCTTCGATCACAGTTTGACGTTGGCCAGTGCTCTGTGGTGTCCTCATGGTGGGAGCCTGGTGTATGGAGAGGAGGCCGGGGCCTCCATCCAGGGCGTGGTCACTGACCGTCATGGCGTCCAGTCGCTGACGCAGCAGGAGCCGTAGTTGGACGTTCTCTCTGCGCAGATGTTCTCTGTCTCTCTTAGCAGCGTCACAGTGCAACACGGCAACATTAATATTGCGTGTTAAATGATGCAGCTCAGGAAACGCAGACGTCTCCTGCAGACAGAACCACAGGGGTCAGCAGGGTCAATGAGGTCAAAGCACATGTCCTTAACTGATCCTCACCTCTGCCTGGTCCTCATGTGTCCCTGGTTTGCGATCATCTGTAGAGCAGGGCAACGGTGCGATGACGCCGTTTAGTTTGTGACATAATTCTCCGACACGTAAAACCCTCTCACCCTAAAACAGAAAAAAAAAGTGGAAAAACAGTGTGAATGAAGACAACAATGAAAAACATCTGCATCAAAAACAGAAATGTTAAAGTGAAGGAAAATATTGTGGAATACAATCAATCAAACATTTAGAATCAATAACCAATTTAATAAATATATTAATACCTTATTAATGGCAGCCTGCAGCCTCTTGGCAGCGCTGTCGCTCTGGACAGTGAGGTCGCGGAGGCCTGTTCTGACCCTCAACTGACCTCCAGTCATCTTATCACGAAGTTTCCGAGTTTTCTGCTTGACGTCATCAATGGCTTTTGTCAGATCTCGTTCTAACAACTCGTTTTCTGTTTCGCTGGATTTCAGTTTTTGCTGCTGTTGGGCTGCAGTCACCTGACACAGACAAGAGGTCACCACCAAAGGTCAACAGGTCATAACATCGGATCAAAGCTGCTAATTTCATTGAATATTTCTTTACATCAACTGTTTCTGACCTCTGCCGCCCCCTGCTGGCAAAGTCTGCTATCGTACCTGCAGTTTCTTTGCCGTCTTCATTTTTTCCTCTGTCTTTTGGATGATTCGCTGCTTCTTCTGAACCAGATCCTCCAGTTCTTTAGCTTCCTCCTGGTGAAGCACCAGGACTTCCTGGTTCTTCTGACTCCTCTCGGCCAATGCGACCTTTTCTTCCAGGAGCAGAGCAGCCATCTGCGGAGGCAGACACACTTCTAATTTCACTTTAAAATAACAGAGAGTGAACAGTAGGTGGGGCTGTAGTTCATTCATTATCTTTTACCACGTGATCCTTCTGAGTATCAAGGAGGTTAAATTTGAGCCAATCTCAGGAGTCACTGGGAAAGGGGACATCACGGAGAGTTCTTCAGTCCACCACAGGGTCAAACAACCACTCACACACTCCCACTCACACCTATGGCCCATTTGTAGTCAACAGATTACTTAACAATGATTCAAGTATTTTTTACTTCTCAGATGGATTAAAAAAAAGTATTTTTACAAACACTCTAATGTTATTTAATGTAATATTAACCACAGACCCAGTAGGGGGCAGTGGTGCAGTGCCACCATACTAAAGGAGAAGACGGAAGGAGGGTCAGGATCAGCTCTGATGTTTTATCATGATGGTGTCATACGCCCTGGGCGTTGATACTGTGACATCACCTGGTCGTCGTGGGCGCTCTCGTACGCAGCAAGGCTCTCGCTGTACACTCTGATGATGTCACTCATCAGGTGCTTGTGTCGCTGCTCCAGCGTGAACTCTGCGTCCTCCAGTTTGGCTAGCTGCTGCTCTCTGTACGTCAGCATTTGTTTCCTGAAGTGATAGAACAATGAACCTGGTGGTACAACAGGAGGTGACCTTTGACCCCGGCCTTCAGACACCACAGTGTCCTTGAAGGACGGACTGTCATAAAGATGCCTCTGTAGCATCATGGAACCTGCACTGTGTCCCCCTACCTCTCGTTATTGAACGACAGTCTCAGGTTTTCCATGTTGTTTTCCCTTATTTAAAATTTAGGAGGAGTAATCAGAACAGAACGTTGAATTTTAAAATTCAAACAAATAAAATAGTCATCACAAAATGACCACACGAGGCAGCCTTAATGTCACTGTGAGTTAAAACGACTTATTTTCTGTATGGAGTTTGGTGTAGGAGTGACTGGTTCATGAGGTGTTTCGTCACCTTCACTGACATCCTGTTAAAGTGAGTTCTTTATGGCGTGAACAGCTTCGATCACAGTTTGACGTTGGCCAGTGCTCTGTGGTGTCCTCATGGTGGGAGCCTGGTGTATGGAGAGGAGGCCGGGGCCTCCATCCAGGGCGTGGTCACTGACCGTCATGGCGTCCAGTCGCTGACGCAGCAGGAGCCGTAGTTGGACGTTCTCTCTGCGCAGATGTTCTCTGTCTCTCTTAGCAGCGTCACAGTGCAACACGGCAACATTAATATTGCGTGTTAAATGATGCAGCTCAGGAAACGCAGACGTCTCCTGCAGACAGAACCACAGGGGTCAGCAGGGTCAATGAGGTCAAAGCACATGTCCTTAACTGATCCTCACCTCTGCCTGGTCCTCATGTGTCCCTGGTTTGCGATCATCTGTAGAGCAGGGCAACGGTGCGATGACGCCGTTTAGTTTGTGACATAATTCTCCGACACGTAAAACCCTCTCACCCTAAAACAGAAAAAAAAAGTGGAAAAACAGTGTGAATGAAGACAACAATGAAAAACATCTGCATCAAAAACAGAAATGTTAAAGTGAAGGAAAATATTGTGGAATACAATCAATCAAACATTTAGAATCAATAACCAATTTAATAAATATATTAATACCTTATTAATGGCAGCCTGCAGCCTCTTGGCAGCGCTGTCGCTCTGGACAGTGAGGTCGCGGAGGCCTGTTCTGACCCTCAACTGACCTCCAGTCATCTTATCACGAAGTTTCCGAGTTTTCTGCTTGACGTCATCAATGGCTTTTGTCAGATCTCGTTCTAACAACTCGTTTTCTGTTTCGCTGGATTTCAGTTTTTGCTGCTGTTGGGCTGCAGTCACCTGACACAGACAAGAGGTCACCACCAAAGGTCAACAGGTCATAACATCGGATCAAAGCTGCTAATTTCATTGAATATTTCTTTACATCAACTGTTTCTGACCTCTGCCGCCCCCTGCTGGCAAAGTCTGCTATCGTACCTGCAGTTTCTTTGCCGTCTTCATTTTTTCCTCTGTCTTTTGGATGATTCGCTGCTTCTTCTGAACCAGATCCTCCAGTTCTTTAGCTTCCTCCTGGTGAAGCACCAGGACTTCCTGGTTCTTCTGACTCCTCTCGGCCAATGCGACCTTTTCTTCCAGGAGCAGAGCAGCCATCTGCGGAGGCAGACACACTTCTAATTTCACTTTAAAATAACAGAGAGTGAACAGAAGTGGGGCTGTAGTTCATTCATTATCTTTTACCACGTGATCCTTCTGAGTATCAAGGAGGTTAAATTTGAGCCAATCTCAGGAGTCACTGGGAAAGGGGACATCACGGAGAGTTCTTCAGTCCACCACAGGGTCAAACAACCACTCACACACTCCCACTCACACCTATGGCCCATTTGTAGTCAACAGATTACTTAACAATGATTCAAGTATTTTTTACTTCTCAGATGGATTAAAAAAAAGTATTTTTACAAACACTCTAATGTTATTTAATGTAATATTAACCACAGACCCAGTAGGGGGCAGTGGTGCAGTGCCACCATACTAAAGGAGAAGACGGAAGGAGGGTCAGGATCAGCTCTGATGTTTTATCATGATGGTGTCATACGCCCTGGGCGTTGATACTGTGACATCACCTGGTCGTCGTGGGCGCTCTCGTACGCAGCAAGGCTCTCGCTGTACACTCTGATGATGTCACTCATCAGGTGCTTGTGTCGCTGCTCCAGCGTGAACTCTGCGTCCTCCAGTTTGGCTAGCTGCTGCTCTCTGTACGTCAGCATTTGTTTCCTGAAGTGATAGAACAATGAACCTGGTGGTACAACAGGAGGTGACCTTTGACCCCGGCCTTCAGACACCACAGTGTCCTTGAAGGACGGACTGTCATAAAGATGCCTCTGTAGCATCATGGAACCTGCACTGTGTCCCCCTACCTCTCGTTATTGAACGACAGTCTCAGGTTTTCCATGTTGTTTTCCCTCTGCTCCAGCAGCTCCTTCACATGTTTCTCCTGCGCTGCCCGCAGACGCTCCACATGCTGGAGGTGAACACGCCTTGCCTGAACCCACTGACGCTCCCCCTCCTTAAGTTCCTGCCCCAAACTCTGCAACACAGACAGGAAGTGTCTGAGCTAGCATAAACACAGTTCCCACGGCTGACGTTTGTATCTGCGGCAGATTCACCTTGATGACATCATCCAGGCCATCGAGCTGTCTCTCAAAGGTCTGCCTGACCACGTCGATGTCTTTACGGAGGTCATTTGCTCGAGTCTGACGTAGGATGGACCTCCAACCTTCGTTGAGCTTCAACAGGTTCACGACAGTGTTTCGCTCCTCCTTCTGCAGCTTGTCCTGAGTGGAGAAAGGTGGAGAAATGTCTATCCACGGTACAGAGCAGCTTCATACAGTAAACAGACCCACTGTGCTTTTTTTCTATAACACATTTAATCAGTTCTATAATTGGGCTCCTCATCTGTGGTACCTTTAGGAACAGAGTGAGGATCTCCTCCTTCTTCTTGGTCATCTCCTCCTCCGCCTGAGCTTTCTGCTGCAGGTACAGGAGCTTCTCCTCCTCTGTCTTTGCTCCTCCCTTCTTCACCTTCCTGGGCATCTTTATTTTCTAATGGTGACAGTCCAGATTTCCACCGAGCGTGAGCTAGTTCTGGAGGGTTTCCATATTACACTACTGGTTCTTTCATTTCTGTAATCGGATTCTGACACTTTGGCTGTCTCACTCATATGGAGGGTTTTCATATTATACTACTGGTTCTTTCATCGCTGTAATCGGATTCTGACACTTTGGCTGTTGGAAATCGTGTACATTAAGACACTGCTGTAGTTGGACTAACTAGTCATTTAACCAACTAGGACTAACTAGTCATCTAACCAGTTACATTTACACAGACAAAAACATGTTGTTAAAAAACGCCGTCTCACATTTCTTACCTGTTAGATTCCAGGCTCTTTAAGACAGAAGTCTGTCAGTTTGTTTATATCTACGTCCCCATAGCAACTTCAACGCCATCACGTGATCCAGCACGTGACTTCTGCCACTTTAAAATTCCAAATTTAAAAGTTCCTGAATTTTTTTTTACCAAGGTACACAGTGTTTTATATACACCAGACTATGATCAGTAAAACTGATACTAAATACCCCCCATTTCCCGGACAAAGCCGCCGAAGCTGACATCAATGCTGCAGTTCGGCTGTTAGAACGCAGAATGGCGCTGCAGCTACAGAGAAGCGGGATATTGCGAACGAGGCGGAACGGAAGAAAAGCGGGACCGGAAATGTCCGCCTCTTGTTTTGAAAGCGGAAAATTTAAAATATCAGGTCGTTCGAAACAAAGTCGTCGTAATGTTCGAACCTATAATAGGAGAAGTGCACGGAAATTGACGGCAAGGCGCCACGTAACCCCATATTTGCCATCGATAACACATGCGCTATCCGATTTAAATGGGTCAAGAAAATGTGGATCTAACCGTGGATTTCTGAATTTTTCGACTCGACGTCGCTGCTGGAACAATTAATTCTTCTGTCACTTTGTTTTTAATGAGGTATTTTTGTAAAATATCTCTGAGATTTCAATATTTTTAAATCGCCTATTGCAGGTTATAATGTAATGTTAAAAAACATTGTTATTCCTATCCATACGCAGGATCTAAACATGAACAAGGGTTGTCGTTCGCAGACGTCAGAAGAACGTAAGTTTCTCTCACTCATAAGCAGCTAAATGCTATCGCAGCTGTATACAAATGTGTTCAAAGTATCCAAAACATTAATACTCTGAATACTTGTTGGAGGTGTGGTTGTATTGTTCGTTAAAATGTCGATGATTTTATTTTTAGGTTGTGTGTTGTGCAGAAGCAGTGAAGATGATCCTGCTATGTTTGGAGAAAAAATCACCCTGAAAGAACACAACCTCACTCTCCATTACTTCTGTCTGGTAAACCCGGATTTCCTTCTGTTGTAAAATGAAGTGTCTCTTCCGTCTGGTATTAGCTCAGTGTGTACGTGCGTCTGTGCAAAAATGGCAACATTCTTCCCTCTCGTTTACTTTAGTTGTTTGTGTTTTTAGTCCCAAGTTTCTGGTCATCCCTAAAGAACTGCTAGTAATTTTGTACAAAATGATCCCATTCACATGACAGACAGTATAGGAGAGGACGCCGTCATTATTATTGTTGATTTGGTGATTTCTTCTTCTTTACTCTTATTAGTCAATGAAAGTATTTTTTTTAGAAAATTACAATTTTAAACTTAAAAAGTACATTTGAAATAATTTATTATACCTCTTATTTGGACAAACATCATTTGCCACCATAGGTAAACAAAATTCATCCATTTCTTAAATATACTTTTCTGTTGTGGAAGATGCAATAATATTCATTATTTTCTCTGTGTGTACCAGCTGACCTCTTCTGGTGTGTACCAGCGTGGAAAAGAGAATGAAGGAGTGTTTGGTTTCCTGGTGGATGACATCAAACAGGAAGTCCACCGTGCAGCTCGACTGGTGACAATGTTTAAAATGCCAAATCTTTATTTCATTATAAACTGTTTTTTGCTGTTTTATTTAAACTGTACATGTTTACCATCCATGTTTCAGACTTGTTGCTACTGCAGGAAGAAAGGTGCTTGTGTTGGCTGTAACAAGCGCAGCTGCAGGAAGTCCGTTCACTTTTCTTGTGGCAGAAAGAATAACTTCATCTTTCAGTTTAGAGGCCTTTTCCCGTGAGTTTCAAAGATAAACACACAAAAACACGTCTGATGTGTCAGAAGATTAGGTTTTAATTAAAGTAAAAGTAAACTGGTACAAGATTTATACAAGAAATGCTAGAAATTGATGGATAAGGTGCTAGGAAGTGTCATATTCACACACAGAAAATGTGTTATTCAAGCTGAATAAAACTATTCAGGTTTAATAACAAGCTAATATCTAAAGTTTAATGGCAGAATTTCACTCACCTTAATTTATCACAAATTCTTGTTGGGAAATGTTTCACATTTACTACCTGTTTGTGACTGTCCTCATCTATACTTAAGTCACCAGTGATATTAAGATTTTGAAAAATATGAAAATGAACCTGGGAGATGATTGAATTTGGCTAAGTAAAAGGTGGATGACCTCTTTGACCTTGTAGTTCCAGACTTTGTAAAACCAAAATTGCAGAATTCTGTAAAAAGTGGATGTCGTCTCCTGTCTCTGTGTCCAGGTCATACTGTCAAGATCACTCTCCCACTCAGTCATTGTGTGTCAGCTCCAACCTCAGTCTGCCTAATTCCTGCTCCATCTGTTTGGAGGCCATTGAACCCGTCCTGTCCTACTCCATCCTCAAGTGTCCGTGCTGCCACGCCAGCTGGTTCCACCGAGACTGTGTGCAGGTCAGTGTGTCTGTGTTGTTTTTATTATGCTGTGCTCACCATATCTGTCTGGACTTCTTGTCTGAATCAATGTTTTGTTGTAAACTTCCTGTGCGATGCCAGCGTCAGGCCCACAGCGCCGGCCTCTTCTTCTTCAGATGTACCCTGTGCAACAATCAGGACAACTTCAGGGAGGAGATGCTGCGGATGGGAATCTTCATCCCAGAGAGGTACAAAGACCGTCAGCACACCTGACGTGGGAAAACCTTGATCTGAGACACGATTTGTGATTTAACTAATTTGTGTGTCCGCAGAGATGCTTCCTGGGAGTTGGAGGCAAACGCGTTTTCAGAGCTGCTTGAAGTTTACCAACACTGCGACGCTCCCATCTGCCAGTGCAACAATGGACGCACACACTCTGCCAAGCTCGGGTATGACAACCTGCTAAAAAGTCCTAAATATTGGAGTTAGTTTTAAAGTAATTTTAAATGTATTTACTCTCACACACCAGTGTCTATTGAGAAAATGATTTTACAGTTAATGCATGTATTCAATCCACTGTTACCTCAGCAACAGTCAGTGTGATCTGTCAGTGTGATCAATTGTGCTATTTTGTGATTCAAGTCTTTTTTGACTGACCACACGAGGCAGCAGCGGACCAGCATCTCCTGTGAACTAACATCACTGATTTTCTTTATGAACTTTTGCATGGAGAAGTGAGCAGTTTATAAAGTTGTAGGACAAATTATCTGCTGTAAGGATTTAGTTTTTACCCTAATTTATTATTTTTTTTAGGTTTTTTTTCCGTCATTTTTGGACAAACATGTTATTTCTGTCTCTAGGTATTTTGAGTTGATTCGATGTTGTCTCTGTGGATCCAGAGGAACTCACCGTAAATGTTCGGAGCTGAAGTTGGACATCAAAGACTGGGCCTGCAGCGAGTGCACCGGGGCCACTGATGGAAAAGGTTCTGCTAATACAGAGAGTCAAAAAAATGTCAGGGTCTGATAGAGCGTGAAAAGTAAAAAAAAATATGGTCTGGCAAAAGTAAAGCAATAATAGATCAAGTGACAACATTTCTATTAAAGCCTCTGTTTTTGTTTTATTTTAACCCACAGTGAACAGGGAATCACAAGTTTACAGTCAACCCACAAAATGAACTGCACCACTGACCAACTTGTGGTGCAACATTCCAAATAACAGCAAAGCATTATGGACAATTGTCCCACCAACATGCTATGTTGCTTTTGAATTTTGTACCCCACACATCTGAGGTTATTCTGTAGAATATTCTGGACCAAATTTGTCCTTGTGTTGGATTGTGACATAACTGTAAACAACTGTTTCAAATAAACAGTCAGCTTCCCTGTTTGTAAATGAACGTTACTTGTGGATGATGGTGGTCTCATAGACACTCCAGCATTCAGTAGAGTCACCTTCCACACTCTGATGTCCTTCTAACTATGGATGTGTCTCTGTGCTCTCAGCCTCCCTGGTCACATCTCCTAAGGTCAGCTCAAGGAGGAGTTGGTCCAAACGTCACCTGTCAACAATCCATTCTCCTATTAGCAGTAAAAGGTAAATACAGTTCAAAGTTTTTATTTAAAACTCTTATTTTTTAACCTGCCTGAAGATAGGATTTTAAAGTCACTCAGTATTCAGTGATGTATATTTAACATAGACTTCATCTGTTTAGTCATGTGTCTAAAAGCTTCTGCTGTGTCCTTGTTTGCAGCCGTGTTTTCAGTCCAGAGTCTGAGGCTGAACGTTTCCTCCAAGATCCAAATCCAGACAGTTTCACATGACACGTCTGCCTTTCTCTCTCTTTAGGCCAATGACATCTGTCACCAACAGTTCACCTGAAGTCATCCTGCAGACTCTGGTCACTCAGCTGGGTCCACACAGTGCCCAAGTGGAGGTGAGCGGGTGTCAGGCTCTACAGGCGGGACTAAACCTGGTCCGGTCACCTGACTTTGAACCCACTTGTAGTCTCTCTGTCAGGTGAGTAGAGGATTAAAAAGTATTATTATAAATTATTATTTCTCACAGTGGTCGTGTACATTAACATTTGGGCCTTTTTTGCTTTTTCCTACACACCATGTTGGTTTTAGATTCAGTAAAGAACAGGAGGATATGTTTCCAAAGAGTTTGCAGGACAACGAGGAAGTAGCAAAACAGTACTTCCTGAAGTTGTTAGTGCAGCAGATCCAGAGCAGTGTGGTGTTCGAGGGTCCAGAAGGATGTAAAAATCTATCGCTGGATTCTCTTGGTATACATCAATTTAAAAAAAAAAAACAAAGGCACAAAAAATGTACATGCTGATGAAGGCAGAACTGACTGGTTCTGTGTGTGTGTGTGTGTGTGTTCCTCCTCAGCTCTCCGTGAAGATCTCTACTTTGACATTGGCTGCCTCCTGGCCCTCTGCCTGGTCCATGGAGCCCTGATTGGCTTCTTCTCCCCCGGGCTTTTCCAGTGTCTGTTCAACTTCCCGGCCAACTGCCCGCTCAGCATCGATCACATGACGCCTGACATGCAATTAACACACAATGTCAGGATGGTGAGTTTGATGAACGCACAACAAAACAATGCAAAGTTCAAGACTCCAAAAATCTGATTTCGTTTCCAGATCGCGGAGGCGGAGACTCTGAGTGACCTCAGGGACGCCATGATTTCTAGCTGGCAGTTCTTAGAGCTCGCCGGCTGCAACAGGTTGGTCAACAGGCTGGAAGAGAAAGAAGAGGTTGTGGAGGACTTAGTCAGCTTCACCTTGATCACCAGGATGCAGCTCCCTCTCCAGAGGTAAAATCACATGACCAACGATGCAACAATTAGTACTGTCGATTCACATATGTTTTTTGTTCATCAAGTTTGGTGTTTTTCTCATTTTCTGCTTTAAAATTGATTTAGGAAATGTTTGCATTCTAGTGTATTCAGTTTTTGAAAGCTCAAGTAAAACAATTTTTTCGATCTGTTGTCGCAACAAAAGCAGCAGCTTTTCCTAAAACGTTGGTATTTCCTGCACAAGCAGCAGCTTTTCCTAAAACGTTGGTGGTTGTTCATCTCCCCCTGACTGTGACATCTGTTCATCTGTTTGTGTCCTGCAGGTTTCGAGAAGGTTTGCAGACGTTGGGTGTCTTTAAACAGGTGACTGCTCTGTCTCTCTGGTGTTTCTCTCTACCACAACATTGTTTTCTTGAATGTGCTTCAGTAAATGCCTCTGTGGGGTTTCCTGATCTGACGTGATGTGATCTGATGTGATCCAGGTGCAGCTCTTCCCCTCCTTTTACTCTGCTGTCTTCTGTGAAGCAGAAACTCCACTAACTGCCCAGACCCTCAGTAAGTTTTTCACCATCAGACTGTCTGAGCAGCAGGAGAAGCTGAACAAAGAGACGCCCATCGTCAGCTTCTGGAGACACTTCCTGGTGGAGTGTGAAGGTACTGATGCAAAAACCTGAAAACACAAACGCTCGTTGTCCATAACAATCCTATGGGTTTATTCTTCTGCTCCTTTGTCTCCTCCCTGCTGTCTCAGTTGGGAGGGCTTCCATTTCCCTGCAGGACCTCCTACTCTTCTCCACAGGAGCTGAGAAGCTCCCAGTGCTCGGCCCCATCTGTCCTCGTCCTTCTATCTCCTTCTTTCACAGTGCCTCCTCGGCTGATGATGACAGGGAGGAGGAGTCGAAGGAGGTGTGCTTGTTTCCTCGCAGTGATCCTAGTTCCTATTCTCTCCTGCTCCCAGTCTGCACCTCCTATGTGGCCTTCAAAAGCTCCATGGAGCAGGCAGTCAGCCACCACCTGCACCTCCTGCCTGCAGTCGGTGAGAGAGGAGCAGATCAACAGAAGAGGAACATCAGTAACCTGCTTTGACGTAGTGACTTTGTTATTTTTGTAAATCTTCTAAACATGCATTAATGCAGCCAGAGACTAGAAACTAAACAGACTACAGTAAAACAAACCCAGGCTGAACCAGTACCACCACACACACGTCTCTTTTTTGGGTTTTGTGATTTTTTTTATCACAAAACCCAACCTTTTTTTTATATTTTCAAAGAACACACTAAAGACTTTTGTTTGAAAACCGATGGTAAGAGAAAATGAAAACCTGGCAGTACAGATATCACCCAAACCAACTGTCTCTGTTTAATAGCATTGAAGCTCAGTTTCTGTATAAGTTTCCTCTTTCTTCTTAAATAGTTGTTACTTATTTTCCAGATAATTAAAAATGTTGGCTTGTTTAAAATAAGACATCCTGTTTTAAAATGTTCTGTGTTATTCACTGAAGTGTTTGCGCTTTTTTTTTTACATTCTTTCTAATCTGTTCATATTTTTATTGAACAGGGTTGTCTGTCTTTTACTGTTCTACTGCTTGCGTTTGTCATATGTTGTAATTGAAAATAAACCAACTTTATCTGGACAAACTGACTTGTGACTTAATTTAAAATAACATGTTACGTTTGTTTAGGTTTTAAAGCTTATTGTCTTGGTGATGACATGTAATTATTCATAAGTCAAATTAAGTCTAAAGTTAGAGTAAGTTTAAAACTTAATGTTGGCCTTCTTATAAGCCAGACTAAATCTGTTTGCCTCGGTGTTCCTACAAAACTAAAACATTAACCTCACTGTTGGACTTTTTTCCATCAGGAAATCCAATTCTAAAATATAACTATAGCAAAATGCTCCATGTTTCTCATTCTGACTCACTTGTGATTATGTTGTGTGCTTTCCCCTCAAAACCATCTATGCTAATTACTTTAATCTTTTAAGTTTACCACTTCATTCTCAAAGACTTAATTATAGTAAACGTATGACTCTATTCTCGTAGAGCGCCTCCCGTGTTTTTGGCGCCTCCCGTGTGGCAACCTATGTTGGTGGGAAAGACACAATAAATTTCCCCATGGTCGGAAGAATAAGGTATTCAGTTATTAATATTTTTATTAAACTTGTATCTCTAGGTATATATTTTTAAATAGGCTGTATGTATTATTCTTAGAGGGTGAGCTCTCTATACAAGAGCAGATTTAAAGGACTGGGACGTCTGTTGTCTGTCCCTCTCCTTTGACGTCACAGAGTGCGCCACGTCATCGGGCGCATCGTCATCACCATCAACATCCAACATGGCGGCGTCTGTCAGGGAGAAGCAGACAGGTCTGTCATTTTCACTTGTTATTCCTCCGTTAACGCCTTACGTTATACTAAACGACACTGTCAACGAGCTGCGGGAGTAGAAACGAGCCAGAGTCTGAAAGAACTCGGTTTATCCCGGACTGACAGGCCTTTAACCCGCTTATAAATTTACTAACCACTTCACAGTGTGAACAAATCGAAGGTCCAGCTGTTCTGTAAAACCTGTTTTTCGGTTTCACTTCTGGCAACTATAACTAGTTTATGGCAACAACAAGTTGTGTAATTATGCTATTGACTAGTAACCAATGGAGCTAAACAGCTGTTTAACCTTTTAGCATCCATTTAGAGATGTTAGCCTGGTAAAGCTAACTTGCTGCTATCGGTGAATAAATGAGAAATGCGAAACGTATTGGAAAAAAATATAATTTCTCCCACAACCCTCTGTATTCACTACGCTGACACACTCAATAGTCCTTAGATGAATTTACACTGTAAATCAGCGTTGACATAGTTTGTAAATGCAGTGTATGTGTAAGTCAGGTACAACCGTACATAGTCCTGGTCCTCGACCTGGTACAAGATGGTTAGGACTGTGGACGTTGTGATCAACATCACCTAGAAGGAAAGCTCTCGCTGTCGGCTCATACATTGGACACTGCAATGACAACATGCAGTAGCACAATATACAATAAATCAATGATGAAACAGTTGAAAAACGAGATAAGGCTTCTGTTGAAGAAGTTGTTGCTTCACACTCACAACATTTATCACTGCTTTGTGTTTTGGACCTTCAGTCGCTTTAAAGCGGATGCTAAACTTCAATGCTCCTCCTCTGAAGAACACAACAGCCGAGCCAGTGTGGAAGGTAATGCTTTCACACACGGACACACGCAGAGTTCTTAAATGTTCTGTATCAGCATTAGAACACAAACCGGTCGCAGGTTAATTAATCAGTATTCTTATGGGAACTGGATCAAAGTGTGTGTCTGTGCATTCCCACAGGTGTTGATCTTTGATCGGTTTGGACAGGACATCATCTCCCCTCTGTTATCTGTCAAAGAGCTGAGAGACATGGGCATCACTCTGCACCTGTGAGAGACAAACACACTGATTGAGCAAACTGATAAAACCAATGACTGCTGATCAATAACATTATCATTCTGCGTATGTGTTTTTAGTCTGCTTCACTCAGACAGAGACCCTATTCCAGATGTACCAGCCATCTACTTTGTCATGCCCACAGAGGAGAACATTGACAGGATATGCCAGGTAAAATCGGTCCTCAGTGTGCCATGATTTCCTGCACAAGCCTCTGAACCCTCTGTGTGTGTGTGTGTGTTGGTACAGGACCTGAGGAACCAGCTGTATGAGTCTTATTACCTGAACTTCATCTCAGCCATCAGCAGAAGTAAGCTGGAGGACATTGCCAGCGCAGCACTGGCTTCAAATGCAGTCAGCCAAGTTACCAAGGTAACCATGGTTACATTCATCTTTTCACTGCTGTGAGCTATAATCATATGTACAGTAATGGATAAGAAATGTACAATATGAAGATTACTGAGGGTTTGCAAATTCTCCAAACGGAGGGCATCGTCATCTTTTCTCTGCTTCTTTGGTGCTTGTGTCTATGAATATGTCCATGAGCCTCAGGTTGTTTGTCTTGTGTATGTGTTTGTCAGGTGTTTGACCAGTACTTGAACTTCATCACTCTGGAAGACGACATGTTTATTCTGTGTCACCAGAACAAGGAGCTCATCTCCTACCATGGTAACACATGTCACATCTTTACATTTTTTTTTTTAATTTACCAAAATCAAACTAATTGAATGTGACATGACCAGGTTCCCGTCTCTTCGTGTCTCCTCTCTTTTGTGCCTAATTTGTCTCTCCTGTGCAGCCATCAACAAAGCAGACATCCTGGACACAGACATGGAGGCCATCATGGACACCATTGTTGATAGTCTCTTCTGCTTCTTCGTCACTCTAGGTGAGCTTCTTGTGGTTCTGTGTCTACTTTTAATGCATGTTACAAATGAATAGCAAATGAATAGCAATAATGCAACTGACCAGTAGATGTCAGCATTGACTTTAACAGGACCAAAACTATGCTGCCTTTGCTGTTTATGATGTTTTATATTTTCTATTTTTAGCAGCACATCTCATAACCACTATGAATGACTTCTTTGTTTTTGAAAGACAAATATATAGTAAAACATTGACTGTCACATGACCAGGTGCGGTGCCGATCATACGCTGTCCTCGAGGAAATGCTGCTGAGATGGTCGCTGGGGTGAGTTTTCTCTCACAGTTCTCTCCACACCTTTAATAATGAGTCATTGTCTTGGCACTATTTGTTTAGGTATTTGCAACCCATCTGTGTCTCATTTTGGCATCCTCCAAAGATGCAATTCCACTGCTGGCCAACAGGGACCTGTGCCAAAGAACTCTGGCCCCGTAGACATCCATTCAAAATCTACTGACTTCTGACCAAGTCAATAAGTTCGTGGCACGGATACTTTTTGGTGCCATTTACCAGATTCTCTCAGTATTACCGTTCTGATGGTCCATTTGAATCCATTTTACATTTAATGGGATGAAAACATTAAATTTAAGATTGGATGAAGACAACATGGTCCGGTTGCAACCGGGTTGTTTTGGTTAAACGTCTCAGTCTCCTACAGTTCAGTGTCTCTGTGTTGTAGAAATTGAACAAAAAGCTGCGTGAGAACCTGCGTGATGCCAGAAACAGCCTCTTTACTGGAGACAACATGACGGCTGGACAGTTTAGGTCAGACTCCAACCCAATGAACAAGCTTATAACAAGCTTCCTACTCAAGTGTTTTTGTGTGTAATAGCACATGATCCATATTTTTTTTTACCATTTTCTTTTAGTTTCCAGAGACCTCTATTTGTTCTGGCAGATCGTAATGTGGACATGGCCACGCCCCTTCATCATTCCTGGACCTATCAGGCACTGATTCATGACGTCCTGGTGAGAAAATTTACTTTTTTTTTAAAGAAATAATAATGGAATAAGGTGAAATAATAAAAACACAGACACTGGCCTAAATGTTTTGACCTTGGCAATTCAAGTGAGAGTTTGGATTTTTTTACAGCTCTGTCAACTGTCAAACTGTCAAGTGTATAAACAGCTCTTTCTTCCATACCAAAGCCCATTGAGAAAATCACAGTTTTTACATCATAACACACAGATTTTGATGATTGACTTCTGCCGCCATCATTGAGATGAAATGTCTAATATGGTGTCATTGGCATTTGAAAACCTTTAAGACATGCTGCAGTGACAAAGACTCACCACATGAGGCAGCAGTAAAGCAGCAGCTCCCGTGTCCACATAGGCTTAAATCACAGATTTCTTTTTCTATACTTTGTTGTTGGAGATGAAACATTTTTGTAAGCTTGAGTTTCCTGCTGGATGAAAATATGTCAGTATACCTATCCTATATTTAACAGAGAGATGACTATATGATAGTTCTGACATCAGAGTCAACTCTAAGATAATACTCACTGCTTCATTCAACTCCAAAAAACTCAGAACTGTCCCTTTAAGACAATGGTTTAGGGTCAACACGGGTGAGGACGTAAAGGAATCCATTGTGTCAAAAACTCCTCAGGAGGGTAGAAGAAATACAAGAGTGTTTTTCTTCGACCCATTGTGCACTTTTGGGAAACACACACACATATACACACACACACACACACAGTTGCTCATGCAAAGCCAGAGTGCTGTCAGTTGGCAAAGCACTGAAGGTAATTCTAACAGCAAAAGAATGCAGAGTTACATGGTTGTGTTATGTAACACACACACACACACACACACACACATAAATATCTCATCAGAAGTCATTTCCTACCTGTGCTTCTACTTTTTTCAAGGTAAAGCAACAGGATATTGTCAAACACAAACTCATATTTTTTCAATAATGAAAAGCACAAATCTTTCTGAATTCCACTCATGTGAGTAAAGTCTGCTCCACACCAAAGTAGAGTTTATATCATAGAGACACAGGAACTACTGCTGTGCTGCTGCCCCATGTGGTTAATTTGCGTCACTGAGATCAGTCTGAACAAAAGATTTGACACGCTGAAGTCACAGAGTTACAGCAGAGACCCTCACAGCTGCTGGTGTGCTTTTTACACATTAAACACAATTTAATTATCATTGTTTTTTAAGACCCTTTGGAGGTCACACTATCACTCATCAAATTCCTGTGGTGAAGGTCACATGGTTTGACTTGGTCACATTTTTTCTTGCAAGGACTACCATCTGAACAGGGTAGTGATGGAGGAGGGTGCAGGGCCGGACTCACCGCCAGCCGGAGCCAGACCGAAGAAAAAGAACAGGAAGACATTTGACCTGACCGCCGCGGACAGGTTCTGGCAGAAACACAAGGGCAGGTGAGACTGGACTCACTGGATTTGGTTTGATTTGTCACTGAACCATGTGGGCAACGAGGTTTATCATAAGATTGGGGGGAAAAAAAAGTTGTTTTTTTTATAGTCCTTTTCCAGAGGTAGCAGAGTCGGTACAGGAAGAAGTAGAAACTTACAAAGCCCAGGAGGACGAGGTGAAAAGACTGAAGACTATCATGGTGAGGGATGAACACAAACATACACACGCAGTGAATTTGGGTGCAGGGGTATAGTTATTCAGCATTCATTATTCTGTGTGTGTGTATGTGTGTGTATATTTGTGTGGGTGTCCAGGGTTTGGAGGGAGAAGATGATGGAGCCATCAGCATGCTGTCAGACACCACAGCCAAGCTCACCTCTGCTGTCAGGTACAGAAACAGAACTGTTGGTCTGCAGTTAGTTTAATGAACGTTGTCACATTTAAGTCCCAGCCCTAAAAAGATCACACACACATTTATGCCCAGTGTTCAATCAGCCTGATCCTCTACCTGCAGAAACCCCACTCTCACATGGGGAGAATATGAAAACTCAGTAGAGAATGGTGGACCGGGGATTGAACTAGTGAACCAGGGATCTTCTTAACATTTAACACCATATGGCCCATTACAGCTGTTGCATAAAATGTACGTCTAAGTCTGTGATGTTGAACAGACTCCTGCCACAGGGCACAGAGATGCTTCTGGTAACACTCACTCTCTGCTCAAAGGTCCATGGAGAACATCAGCGTTTCTGTATCCTCAGATGTGACCCAGCCGGTGTCCCCAAGTTTAAATGTGTTATTTTTGTCTTTGCTGTTTGAAATTCCTCATTAGGGTTTTACTGCAGTGACAAACTGGTCCCACACCGCAGCAGGAGACCAGCAGCTCATCTGTGTTTGTGAGCTGCAGTCACTCATTTTCTTTATGGACTTTGGTGTGGACAGGAGAGCAGTTTCCAGACTTCAGTATCGTACCATTAAAGGCCCTCCAACAGCGAGATGAAGCAGTGAACCCATTACTGACATGTTGTAGGCCTGCAGTGACGTAGATTTTAGCCGTAGAGTCTTTTTATTTTCTGGCCAAAAGTGACACTACGTGTCCATACCTCATTTCACCATGACAAAAAAAAAAAACAAAAAACCCAACTCTTCCCTTTAAAGTAACTTCTGCTTCTGCTCTGAAAAATTTTCCTTTCAGTGAAAATCCTCAAATGCCTCTCACCATCTTTTCTCAATAACATCTCAAGTATGAATTTCCATGAAATGTGAGAGGAGGACGAGTCTGGAGCCAGAGAACATCTGATTAGATTTCTGCATTTCAGCATTCACCAATTGTTTTGTTTTGTACCTGTAACCATGAAACCATGTTACCCGCTCTCAAAGCGACCCTGTCGTCTGCTTTTTTCATTTTCCACACCGGGGCTGAAGCAGTCTGACTTAAATGTTGTTTTTTCCTCCACAGTTCTTTGCCAGACATGCTGGAGAAGAAGAGGCTGATTGATCTGCACACCACTGTCCTCACTGCCGTCATCGACCACATCAGGGTAGGACTGTCAGCATGGCAGGAAGTAGATCAGGCACACAGACATTCATGTGTACTGTTTCCACCACAGTAACAGGACACTTCAGTGCCATTAACCAGTTTGAAGGGACTAAATGGTTCTTGTTTACAATGGCTGCTCTGTTTCCACCTCACAGAAAGTCCAGTTAAAATGTTGCCATTAAATCTTCCACCAGTTTGAGTCAACTGTTCAGTCATCCTGCCTTTGCTTCCTCGTGTCGCACAAAATATATGATGGGAACCATCACAACAATCATCAGTTTATGTTACTTAGTATCACACTTTAATCAACCACGCTGAGATATACAGTAGCTGGTTAGATTAAGGCAACCCTGAGAATACTTTTGTCAACTTTTATTGGAACAGGTTTGTGACAAATGATCTCTTTTGTTTTTGTTTTCAGACCCGTAAACTGGACGTTTACTTTGAAAATGAAGAGAAATTGATGAGCAAATCTACTTTAGACAAATCTCTGTTGGACATCATCACTGACCCAGATGGTACAAACACACACACACACACACACACACGTACTAAACACCTTAACTAGGGATGATGAAAGAATTGTTACTGTTTTTTCCTCCGATAATGAAAACCTGATAAAGCAGTGCCTGGGTTTTGGCAAATGCTTTGGCAAAGTGCTCTAATATAGTTTTGGGAAGAAACAAATGGGATATCAGCAAAAAGTTAACATTGAACATCTCTGATCTTAACTAGTCCAAATCTTTGTCTAATCTCAATCCTCACATTTGATGCTTTTGAAGTATTTTTTGCACCTCATGACAGTAAAATGCATTTTTTTTCAAACCTTTCAATAAAGGTGCAAAAAACATTTCCAGACATCCGTGAGTGTACAGTGTAGATTTTACACTCCTTATAAAATTTGGCCTGTTTTCTGGAGGTTTGAAAAAGGTTTGTTTTTGAACACAAAGCCTGAGATGCTTTCAAACAGCAGATTCATTTTTGTATCTAAACTAAACTAAATGCCTATAGTTTAGTTTCTAAGAATACTTCCAGCCTACACTCTGCTTTGTTGTGAATAGAATTGGTCATAAATCCACCTGAATAAATAATACAAACTCACTCACTCAACGTGCCTATATTTAGCCTGGTTAGGTTTGTTTGTAGAGGTATTAAAACCATGGTGACGGTTATTTAATAAACTCAGAATAACACTGACATCCAATCATTCATGCAGTGCCACAGCATCTGTAGAAGGCTCTCCATGTGTTGCCCCAGGAAAAGAAATGAGAGAAATTAGTTTTGCTCTGCTGTTGCTGACGTTTTTGACGTCATGGAATATTTCTGTTGGCTAAAGAAGAAATTCAGATTTTAATTTTTCTTAGCAGCAGTGTTTGTTGACATGTGTTTTAAATGTGAACATGTGTGTGTTTCTGTCCTCAGCTGGGACACCAGAGGACAAAATGAGACTGTTCCTCATCTTCTACATCACAGCTCAGCAGGCACCTTCAGAGGTAGGAGACCTCACGCAGCTCTTTGTGTTCAAGTCACATGGTCCATACAGGGAACACAGTGGCCTCTTGAGGTTTTTAAACGCTGTTAGGTTTCATGTTGTCAACTTTAAGCCCTTAAACACATTAGATTTGCTCCACTGAAGACTTCATTCTTTTCATCTGTTATGGTGCTACAGACGATAGCAGATGTTTTTCATGGTTCTGTGTGACTAGCATTGGTGCCGTGTGTGAACCATTAACATCTTAACAACTCAGATGAGGCAGAGGTGTAGGGGAGACCATATCATTGTATATTATGTTATTGGAACTCCTTTAATTGGTTTTGTCTCCCACACCACAGTCCAGAGAGAAAATGATTGTTTTTACATCTCAGCACAGACAGAAGTCTGTTTTTATTCAAAGACTTTGTCAACAACTTGTCTTTAGTCTGTTTTTAATCAAAGACTTTGTCAACAACTTGTCTTTTCTAAGACAAATCCTTCAATAACAGTGGCTTCTATCACTTCTCACCTTCACCCAAATTTGCATACTAACCATTGTCAAACATTAAAATACTAATGTTTTTTTACATTCTAAAACAAATATTACATTATTATAATATAGATGTTTTTCCAATTTATGATCAATAAAACAGCATGTAAAGAAACATGGATGCAGGACTGTATGATGAGCCTCGTGCTGTTCTTCACATCCACTGTGTTAAAACAGTGACAGTGTTGTCATGTGATTAACTGGTTCATGTTGCAGTGCATTTGCCATCGTATTTTGAGCAAATGTTAAGAGGCATAAATGTACCTCTGAACATGTGCCCTGGGCTGGGTTGTTGTTACTAAGGGTAGAACATGACAGTCATTGGACTTTTACCAAAAGGTGGCTGTGACCTTAAACAACAGCACTGTCTTGAAGCAGAGTTCTCCTGCTGTATGAAGATGAAGGACAATCATAATTTGATCATTTCCATCTGGATCTTATTTTACCGTCCAATCAGTTCAGAGACGATACCTCCCAGCATTCACTACAGCGTTAGTTTCAATTAAACGTGTTCACATTTGTCACATAATCTAATAATTACTCTGTTGAACTAGTTTTCCGACTTTCCTGGCTTTAAAACCCAAGTATTTCATGGAACCTGTTTCCATTTAGCTTCTCTGGAGTGGCCCAAACCGCTGAGTGTTTCCAAACCACCACTGCTCTGGTGTTGATGGTCTCTCATTGTCTTTGTCTCCACTGATCCATTCAACCGAGTCAAATAACCAGTGAAGAGTCACCAAACCGCTGCGGCACCAGTTAACCAAAGTTAAAGTCTTGGCTCTTCAGTTTCCGTTGTTCTGTCAAACATGGGCCCGAGTGGCTCAGAAGAACGTAGGGCAAAGACAACGGCGTCTCTATGTATGATTTGAGCGGAAGAAAAAAAACATTGAATCCCCATTGAATGAGATCATCCCACAGCAAAGACAAAGGGAGATGGTAGAGGACAGCCAGAGTGCAGCTCTGCCTTCACGCTTCATTTCAACACAAACCGTCTTTTCCAGGTCGACACAAGTGACTGATATTTGTGTCCCTGTCCAACTCTCACTTATTACATTCCATTTTTTAACACATCTTTCAGTCCCTTTGCATCTTGTGACCAACTTTGGAGTCAACACAACTATATTTTATAATGAGGAGCACCTGGACCAGTTGGAAACAAGTCTCCTTCATTCGTTTTCTTGGCCTTAGGTTTATACTAAAAATAAAATGGCATGTTGTTATTTTAGTGAAGAAAAATTACTTCATTTCAAACGAGTTATTGGTGATATATAATTCAGAAACGCTTTGTGCTTGTACTTTTTTATATTTAATGTTTGGAGCTAAGCTTAGTCTCGGACTCTGTTGTGTTCATGTAAATTGTTTTAGTGATGGACATAAAAAGTTAGTGGTGTGGAGCTGCATCCGACGGCCAAATCCCACGTCTCATCAGTGCTGTCACTGTCTGTCTGTCTGAAACAGGAGTCTTCTCACAAACTTCAACAAAAGGTCAAATTAGGGCGTTAAAAATATTTCTTTTTCCCTTTTTTGACTTTGTCTCAGATTGTGTGAAACAGATGCTGTAATACATCGCCCCTGATGCAACCTTTTTAGATCTTACCTCGGTCAGTCCGTAAAAGAAGACAGTGATGCTGTGTTGTGTTTCTTCTGGGAGGTTAAACAGTCGATTTGAGCAGAAAAACATGAGTAAAACAATGATTTATCTGAACAGATTCAGTGATTACTTCTACCAAAGAGGTAGAAGGGGAAATATGACCTTCCCTGTGCCCTTCAGTACTCTGCACTGGGCCTTTGTTGGCAAATCTACATAGTAGAGTTTTCATGACATTTTTAAGCCTTATTATTTAGTAGCTTCTAGTCAAGACTTGGGTAAAGGTTGGCAGACTGTGCTGGAGTTTAATAAACATAAGGACAGATACACAGGGCTTCGTGCCTTTGAGTAAAGATTTGGCTAAAAAGCAGTTTATCATTCTCAGAACACCTGAACCTGAAATACACAACTTTACAGATGCTTTGCTATTATGTTTGTCCACCCTGGAGAACTGTTGGAATGAATGGTGGAACATCCAATAAAAAGTGTCACTCTTTATTGTCCTGTGACACTGACATTCCACTGCTTTGGAGTTTACCGCCAGAGAAATCGTCTTCAGAAGATCCTGTTTGATTTCATAGTTACTCTCTACTCGGGACAAACGCAGAAATGGAGGGTGGAGCTAAGTCAGACCAGTGAAATGGAACTAAGTGTGCATTTTGTTCTTTTTCCTGGAAATGAAGTCTGAACTTAAAAGGACTTTTATGGTCTTGGCACATTAAAGCGTGATAGATTTACATTTATGATCAAATAATTTGATTTCCTTTATTTCAGACAGACCCTGGTTTCCCTTAAATATCTATAAAAGTCTGCTGAGATGGTTTAAAAAGTTAGTTTGGCAACTTTGAAATTGAAACCATATGCGTATAGATATGTGTCACAGCTGCGTACAGTTACAGCAGTAATCTTTAGTCACCGTAGAAGATTTCTTCTCAAAAAGGTAAATGATGACGGAAGTAAATGTGAGCACCGTTTTTTACTCCCAGTAGATGGTCCAGTCCTGGGTAACGAGAAGTGAATGGTTGCTCTTTTGAACAAACATATTTATGTTTAGGTTTGTCGAGGCTAAAACACATGGGTTTTAAAGAGAGAAAGAGAAACAAGAATGCAGTATGATGTGGACAGGAGAGGCAGAAAAGTACATGATTTTCATGCATGACATGAAAAAGGACAGGTGTAGTGTAGGAGACTCATTGATTCAAACCATGGTTGGAGTTTTCCATTTTGAAATATTACAGTCATATTGTAAAATTATTTTTCTCAGCCCAGTATTGAAATGAATATTTTCTATTTTACTGCTCATTCTGAGATGTAGAAACATCTAATTTAATATCTCACACAGAAGTCTGTTATAAAAATCAATGATTTTTCATCAGCACACACAGCAGTTCTTGATTTACTGCTGCCTCTGTAACTGAGTCCATGTGTTTCATTTATTATTTATTTATAACATTTATTCCATTTATTCTGTGACACAAATTGACCAAGGAAACAACTGCTAAAAATGCTCTGTGCTAAATATTAGCCTAGGGGCTTTGGTGCTGTAGTTTCAATAGTTTTTCTATCATTAATCTCCCATGAGAGCGGGGGTTCACAATTATTTTCTGTCATGCCCCCCCTCGGGGAGAGAAATGTTTTCATGCCCCCCCGACCCTCACCCAGCAAATTAAAATACTGTTGAGAACCTGATAACATGTATATTTTTATCTGTACAAACCACTGTATGGGCTGCTGCCACCTAGTGACTGGAGGTTGTTATCATTCAAGCGTTACATCAGTGGTACACTGATGTCCAGCGTGCCATATTCCATTGAAAGCCACTCAGACGCCTCACAGCGCCCCCTTTGGGGGGCCCCACCCCACTATTTGAGAAGTACGGCTTTAGAGGTACTATAACGGGGTCTTTCTTTACCAGACTGATGTTCTTCTTGTGTCCTGCCGGTCTGCCAGGACTTGGTAAATACTTTTAAAATGTGTACTTGGCTGCAGGAGTCGATTACAAACACCTCTGAAGTCAGTACACTGAAAACCCGGGGTCAGAAATTGATGCCAGATGACAAACGGGGAGAGTAGAACGTGTGAGTGATTTAAACGTAGTGTATGTTTGCACCTCACATCAGTGCACCAAAGACCACTCTCCAGACGGGGGGGGCAGCTCTGTCGTCCTGATGAGGTTATTAAGTATTTATTACCACAGCTATTTCATTGCTGTCAAAATGAAACCTCAGATTTAAGAAAACGAGGACTTGGGGATAGGAAGGGGGGTCTGGAACCTTCTCTGGTCTTCCTGTGGTTCAGTGTTTACTCCAACATTCGACTAAAACCAGGACACTGAGCAAAATAAGAAGATCCGAGGATGAGGAAATTAAAACCACAGCATGCCACAATGCTCCCATTCTTCTCTGTAGCCAAAAGACGGAACAGCAAACAGAGCACTGACACTGTCACTAGCAGGGGTCATAGGTCACCAAAATGGTGTTTTAGTCACGTTACATTGTCATTGTGTATTTTCTTTTGTGACTTTGTGCCCTTACTCTTAAAGAGGGACAAAGGGATTTGGGGCAAAGCAGCTTCTAAAATAACAATGAGACAAAAGTCCTTAGTATAAAAATGTATCAGATTCAAGGTTTTATAGAATCCAGGCTTAAAAGGATTACAGTTATAGAAAAGGTGTTGAATGTCATTCTCAGTGAGGTGTTCTGAGGTCTCTGTGACCACGTTTGTCAGAGTCGTAGCTGCGGCCGCACTTAGCTGTGTGTGTCGTTATCAATGCTAGCAACTAACTGTGAAGCCGTGGAACATATTCTGATGATGTTGTCGATTTAAGATGATGAAGAATTTTAGCTGAGTCCTCTGTAGCTGAACTGTTGTGTCTGGTATTTTTGCTCGCAGCTACATTTTACATTTTGAGAGTCAGCTTTTTCCTTTCACGATAAAAGAAGACAGTGATGCTAGTGTGTTGTTTTGTCGTGAGAAAGCAAACCCAACACTTCACTATAGAACCTGAAATATGGTGCTTTTTGATCCTTGTGTTGCTTGCTAACAGTAAATTCTTGTCTATAATGACAATACACTGATCGACTCGATGCTAGATGGAAGATAGATCTTTTCAAACTAAAAATAAGTTGGTGTTCACCCTGTTTTCTCAGATTCCTGACCAAATGCATAAACATTTCTTACAAAATAGTTGGTTGAGTTCAGCAGCGGGAGGACGTAGACTCAGGGAGGGACAGAACGCTGCGTGTGTTACTAAAGATTAAGCATGTGGCAAAACATTTCTTCAGATTTTTCAAAAAAAATCCCGACTCCAGTCTGTCAGTATAGGCAATGCAGAGAAAGTTAACAAAAAAAAGATCCAAAATAAAAGATGAAAACTGCTTTCAGGTGTGTTTTGTTTTTTTCTGAGAATGATTCTGGCGTCCAAGAAACAATTCATCAAATTCCGTCTCAGGAGGTGAAGCATCAGTCTTGACACTAGTGTTTTTTTTTTATCCCTCCTACGCCAGAATCAACTCTCCGGATTTGTGTCTTTGGATGAGCAAAGAATTGTTGACTTGCTGACAGTTCTTCCCGTCACTGCCGCACTGAAGCAGCACAGGGGACACTGACATCAGCGGCAGTGGTTGGCTGCAGACGGTAGAAATGGTTTGAACAGCTGCTTTCAGGTCTTCACATCCACATGAATCCTCATTAATAATAGCCGAGCTCTGGACCAGGCTTCATGAGAAGCATCTTCCTTGGCTCCACCACCTTCATGAGTTCATTTAGAACCGGGCGATGGAACAAAGACCCACGGGCCAAAGCGCCAAGTTCCTGCTCTGAGTTTCTATTAAAAGGAACGCAGCTGGATCAGGTTTATTTTGTCAGGAAACTTTTAGAGTTTGCTGTTTTTAGGTCCCAGTTTCTGTAAACATTTGGAGGCTGTTAGATGTGAGAGTTCAGGTGTTTTTGACTGAGCACACTGTGTTGTGAGCACCCCCTGCTGCTAGAACCAATGAGCGATACAGAAGCTGGTCCTCAATGAAAATATGGCTGACAGCAGGGACACTGGGAAAATAAATGTTACGCTCTTGAGACAAGACTTGGGTAATAAAGTCTACCTCTCCATATATCTACCTAATCCTATACTGTGATGAGCAAATAATGTGTTCTTCATTTATCATTATATTCTGGCACTGTGGTGAAATAACTAGCTCGCACGTCTGGGTGTGTTTTGGTTTTTTGTCCTATCGAGGCTACCATACCATGATATTTACATAGGTTGAGTGTATTTTCAAGTGTTGTGTTATTGTGTTGAGTGTTTTGTAAAGTGTAATGCAGGATGAGAGCGTCGGCACCAACAAGAGCCACATTTTCCACAAGTGGATTTAGGTCTAATTATGTAGAATTGGTCTCAGTCAAAGGTCCAAAGAACATACGCAGACGTTCTAAACTGTGTCCAAGCTGCAAAACCACCCACATCAAACTTGCTGTAGAATCTGTTCTGACAGCACAGAAGCGTGAAGCTGGTGGAAAAAACACCAGCGTTGTCCACCGACTAGCAGTACATGCACCCTGATTACACAACAGGAGCTGGACTTCAGTCGGGCCAGAGACTTTGACTGGATTCATTTCCAAAACAAATTTTTAGACTGAATGTGCGTCACATCTTCAGTTTGTTTGAACCGAGGTGGTTCAAAAAAAGAATCCTACTTTTGATACTGATCTTCAAAATATTTAACTGCTTTATCTCACCATTAGTTGGCGAGAAACTGCAAACCAAACACTCATACAAAAAATTCTTCCTCCATCACAAAGTTTATGTCATCCCTTTGAAGTTTAGAATAATTGATCCACATATACCCATATCCAACTGAACCATGAGCTCCTCTGTCACCACAGCTAAAAATGTTTTTAATGTTTTATTCTTGAGAAAAATTAAACTTCAGTTTTCTAAGTTAAGGTTAAGGTTTTTAACTTAGCTGAGCTCTACTGCCACCAACTGGCACCTTTATCACTCTTCTTGGTATCTTTTCCAACCAGTAATGTCCAGACAACTGTAACAGATATAAACATGGAGTACTAACAGACAGAGGGCAGTGTTGCTGCAGATGGATGTACCATCATACACCACTAGTGGCTGGTGAAAAAAGGCCTTCCTCAAACTTTGGTGTGTTTGCTCTACACTGTTGAGATGTTGTTGATGTTTCAGTTGCTTTAACAGTGGGTTTGACGTGATGCTTGGAACTGCAGAGAGTAGTAGACATTTTAGCTGAACAGATGTTAGCCTGAGATGCTAGCTTCTCTAGAGTGATGGCGTTGCCATGTCCACCATTGTTGGTGGAGAAACAGATGTGTCTCTGTGCTCCTCTCCGTTCATGCGTCTCTGAGCTAAAAGCTAAAGCTTGAATTCATCCACAGTGATTTTGACTCGGTACCTCACATAACCTTATTTTCAAGGAAAAAGAACAAGTTTTCCTTCAGGATTGTGACTCAGAAGCTGAAAATTTGCCCAAACCCTGAGAAGCAGTGGGTCGATGGTGTGGGTCCAGACTCTGAGCAGCCGCTGTGGGCAGAGACGGCTCGGTTCCCACACCTGCAAAAAACATTTGAACAATCCGTCTCAATTATTCACTCAGAGATCCCTCAACATCAGTACAAACAGAGCACCAGCCAAGAGGTGGAAGAAGGAGGAGGAGGAGGAGGAGGAGGAGGTGGAGCGGGCGATGTTGGAGAGCTCCATCACATTCTCCTCCTCCTCCTCCTCCTTCTCCTCCTCCTCCTCCTCCTCCTGCTGCTCCTCCTCCTCCTGCTCCTGCTGCTCCTCCTCCTCCTGCTCCTGCTGCTCCTCCTCCTCCTCCTCCTGCTGCTCCTCCTCCTCCTCCTCCTCCTTCTCCTCCTCCTCCTCCTGCTCCTGCTCCTCCTCCTCCTGCTCCTCCTCCTGTTCCTGCTCCTCCTGCTCCTCCTCCTGCTCCCGCTCCTCCTCTTGCTCCTCCTCCTCCTCCTGCTCCTGCTGCTCCTCCTCCTCCTCCTCCTGCTGCTCCTCCTCCTCCTGCTCCTGCTCCTCCTCCTGCTCCCGCTCCTCCTCTTGCTCCTCCTCCTCCTCCTGCTCCCGCTCCTCCTGCTCCTCCTCCTGCTCCCGCTCCTCCTGCTCCTGCTCCTCCTGCTCCTCCTCCTGCTCCTCCTGCTCCTCCTCCTGCTCCCGCTCCTCCTGCTCCTGCTGCTCCTCCTCCTCCTGCTCCTCCTGCTCCTGCTCATCCTCCTGCTCCTGCTCCTCCTGCTCCTGCTGGGTTATTTATGGACACTGACATCAGTTCTGGTTCCTTCTCTGCAGTTTTGGTGTTGAAGTCCTGACAGCTCCACACTGTGATTCCATCACAGCTCCTCTCTTGTGTGTTATTCTTCGGTCAAATCAGTCAAACACTCAGATCCAGTTACCCTTCTGTAATTCTCTCACCCTGTGTCTGGACCTGAATCTGACGCCTGTCATGCAGGCGACACCAGACAACCAACACTGGAGATTGTTGATATTCTACGGGTTAGTGCCTAATTGCCATGTTTTTCAGTTGTGGTTGTGTGATGTTCTGACACATAGTCAACACTGACTGCAGTGTGAGCGCCCCCTGCTGATGAAACCAGCATGAGACACAAGAATGGGCTCTAAGGGCTGCATATTTTGACATTGATTTTAGCCTCATAAAATAAGACTTGCCAATGAAAATGTGGATTAGCAGCTACATGCTAACATCTGAAGAATCCGTCAGCTCATAGACTTTTCTAATGGGTAACTAATGTCTCTAACCCACATACATTTTTGCACCATGTCGATGAGACACAGGAGTTTTTCTGGAATAGTGCGCCTCGTGTGGCCAATTTATGTCACTACAGTAAATCTAAGAGATACAAAATACCAATATGTCAAAAAACACACGTTGTCTTTGCTGATGGAGAGAGCAGTGGTCAACAATTCCTGTGTCTTTAGATATAAAAATCACTCATTTTCTCTGTGGACTTTGGTGTGGGAGAGGAATCCTGTCCTCAGGTCACCTAAACACCGACCCCTCCTCTTTCCTTCCTTTTCCTTTCCCTCCTTCTCTGTGTCCTTTCTTTTTCAAAACCTTTTTATGGCATTCTTCTCTCTTTTGGCCGACTTCCAAATCCAAATTATAAACAAATAGCAACACTAAAGCAACAGCTCACGTTTTCTGCGTTTGTCCGGCCTGGGTTTCTGTGAAAACATGGCAGGAACAGACTCGAACCATTTAGAAAACAGAATCTTGACAGAAATCTAAAGCAGCTCAAGTCTGCTGTGTCAGTTGTGTTCAAGGTCACTTCTGTGGGACTGCAGGGAAGATGCCTCGTCTGGTGCCTGGCAACATGTAAACAATTTACTTCAGCTGAGAATGAGTGGATGGGTTTGTTCTAGATACAGAGAGAACAGAGAATCACTCTAAGATGAGGTTTGTCAGTGATTATTTAAAGTCGACGTCACTGACTTTAAACATACATGTTATACATGAGCACATTAGTTATTAATACCTGTTTTTTTCTTCTCTGTGTTTGTGTCTTTCAGTCCGACCTGGATCAGTATAAGAAGGCCTTACTGGATGCAGGCTGTGACCTTTCACCTCTGAACTACATTAAACAGTGGAAGTGAGTTTGACCTCACAGTTTGGTTTAGTGTTTTAACTCACAGCTGTGGCTCTCTTTATAAGTGAGAGCGGTTAATTGGGAGTCATGTTTCATTTCCAGGGCCTTCACCAAGATGGCCGCCACACCAGCAAACTATGGCAACAGTGGAGTCAAACCAATGGGGTGCGTTTGAACTGACTAAGGTTTTTCGAATGTAAGAGTTTTTGTTTGGTTTGTGTCGACACCACCATCCTCACCCTGTTCTCCTCCTCTCTTCTTCACTCTCCTCCTGCTATTTCCTCCCCCTTCTTGCTCCTCCTCTCGTTTCCTCTACCTTTCGCTCTGTTTTCCTCTTGTCTTCTTCTCCTCCTTCCCTTTTTCCATCCTACTCCTTTACTGTTTTCCTCCTCTCTTCTTAACCTCCTCCTTTCCTCTCTCCTCCTGCTCCTCCTGCTCCTCCTGCTCCTCCTGCTCCTCCTGTCTGCAGCCTCCTCTCCAGAGTGATGAACACTGGTTCTCAGTTTGTGATGGAGGGAGTTAAGAACCTAGTTCTGAAACAGCACGTGAGTGTCTCACCTTCAGTTAACCTCTACAAACTCTGCTTCGTTTGAACCTGAACCATCACATCCTCACTGCTGACCTCTGACCTGTCTTCCAGAACCTGCCAATCACACGTATCCTGGACAACCTGATGGAGATGAAGTCTCACCCTGTGAGTTTAATCTGGTTCAGATTATTGTCTTAATCTGATTGAAAACAGTGCAGTAACGACCGGAGGATCCGTCTGTGCAGAGACCATCACATTATTGACACATGAACACACATGCACTGTGCTCTCACTGTCAGTGTCACACACACACACACACACACACACACACACACACAGTCTGTGCAGTTTCTCAGTGTCTGAAGTTTCAGACCAACAACAAAGATCCCGTTGTTGTGAGAGTGGTGAAGAAGAGGAGGATGAAGAAGGACATTCCCTCTCTATCAGATTGTCCTGTGTCTGTTGGTCTGTTTGTCTGTGTGTGTGTGTGCTGCAATATATACGGTTTGATGAAGATGAAGATGATCTATTATTGGGTCTGCATATTTCAAAAAGTTCTGGAAAATGTGGACCAGTGCTGTGATCTGGTCCTCGTATTTTATGTCTAGTCATAATTCAATATTAGACCAAAATTATGGACGCATAAAAACGTAGTCCTGCGACAGTTAGCTAGCCATAGATAGAGCCTAAGTGTCTAAAAGTAGCTAACAGATTATTGACGTTAGCAAAAATAAACAGCTAAATGTTGACGCAATTTGCCTCATTTTGTGAAAGTAGCCAAAAGTTATTGCTAATTGTGGTTAATTGCTGTTGTATTGACCCTTGACCTCCTTTCCTCATTTACAGGAAACTGACGATTATCTGTACTTTGACCCGAAGATGCTGCGAGGCAGTGAGAGGTATGACAATCACATCCAGTTGAATCAGATGATTATTTCAGTATAATTGTAATATTCCTTTAATGATGTCACTGGTCAGGGCTGGAATTAAATGGTGACTTTTCCCTCCTTATTAGTTCTATTCCCAGGAACAAGAACCCGTTTCAGGAGGTGAGCTTCATGTTTGAAAGTAAAATGTTAAACGATGAGATGACATCACCATGATGGAGCCAATCAAACCAGAAGTTAATTGTAATTTGCCGATGTTGTTGTTTAGGCCGTGGTCTTTGTGGTGGGAGGAGGAAACTACATTGAATACCAGAACATGGCCGACTACGCAAAGGTACATTTACATCTACAGTACTAATCCTGCAGCTAAAGCTAATATAGAGGTGCTAATGCTACTGTAAACACTGCAGGTCATAATGAGTCTTCTAATGTAGCAGTTAATAATAGCAATGATCCACATACTGTGTATATATATATATATATATATACGGTTTGTATTCTTTTGACAGTTGCTGTTTAAGCTAACTAAAAATACTAAACTACTAAACTGCTGCTAAAAACATCATCAAGGTTGATGAAGTGTGACACAGACATACTGTGTTATTTTGTGCTGATGTAGCATAAAAGTTTATCTGATTATTGTGATTTGTTGATGATGATGATGAAGATGAAGATGATGATGATGTTAATGATGATGGTGATGATGATGATGATGATGATGTTGATGATGTCCTTTGTTCAGTCCAAACAGGGGAAGAAGGTCATTTATGGCTGTAGTGAACTCTTCAATGCCACTCAGTTCATCAAACAGGTAAGAATCACATCATCGTCGTAAAATGTGAAGTGATGTCGGAAAATGTCAAAAGAAAATGATGTAGAAATGATGTAGAGTGTCCTAATCCTGCTGTGACCAGTCACCTCCAACAGTGGGGTTTATTTATACATTTATAAATGAATGGAAACAGGTAGACTCTGGGTTTTCTTACTGCCACCTGCTGGGTGTGTGTATCACTGATGAACATGTTTACCCACAGAGATTGTCAGGGAATGATTGTCCACTTGTCCACCTGTTCATTTAACGTACCGTTCACATTAAGATGTTTTTCTGTACCATCACTGATCCATGTGTTTTAATGCTACGATGCTAACAGTGCTATCTCTTCTTCCTCTCTGCAGCTTTCACAGCTGGGCCAAAAGTGATGACAACAACAACAACATGTGAACTCTCTCTCTCGCTCTCTCTCTCTCTCTCTCTAAAGCTACTGCTCGGGTTCTCTTTCTCTCTCATCATTTTATAAAAAGTGTAAATTTAATAATGTCTTTGTTGTTTCTGTCTGTCTTCCTCAAAGTACTAATAAAGTCTCAGTCTTACTGCAGTCTCATGTTAACTTCTGTCACACACACACACACACACACACACACACACACTGAGCCTGGCACTGTGAGTCACAGCCGCTCTTGTCCAACACCAAAGAAGTGGACATGAGGATTATGTTGTCAAGGTATTTTAATCTGTGTATGACGTCCACGTTTATGTCCACGTGTTGGTAATATTGAACTGTAGCGTTTCAGAGAAGTCAAATCAGCTTCCTACAGAGAAACAGTTAAAGGTCAAGTGGAGGTTATTAATGACTCATTAACAAAGCATCAAATATGTTTGTTTGTTGGTCATATAACCTCTGACCTGCAGGTGTCACTGACGTTTCCAACAGCAGCATTCTACTGTATCAAGGTAACAGACTTGGTCCCAGAAACAGTTTAAATTCAACTTGTTTCATCATTTCCTGTTTATACAGAACGGTGAAAGAAATCTGTGAAGTTTATTAAAGTCACTCAGTGTTTTATAAAAAGTTTCCAGCGTCTCAGACCTCTTTTCTTCAGGTCTCTGTAAATGTCCTGGACGTTGTTGCTCTGTCCGTCCAAAGTTTTCTTTGAAGTGCAGTCCATTCATTGGCTGAACTATTCTTTGGAAAAAAATAGCTCAGTAGTCCGTACAATTTCCTGTGTTGGAAATGTTTCTTTAACCGTCCGCTGTAATTTGTACAGGTTGTTAAGAGACAACTCCCACGGTTCCTGGTCATTCCAAAGTTCATGTATAGTTTCTAGAACTTTCTGGTGGGGGAAGCACACGTACTGTATTGTGGCGGTGCCGACACACAAGGCTCAAGGTTCTGGTTGACATTCCTGCAACAGTAGCCACTTAGTCCCTGCCTTTGGAGGGGACATAGTTGCTGCCACGGACTGTGGTTTCCTTACAGGAACGAAGGTCTGTGCATATGGAGAACAGAGGAGGTGAAAGAGGGACAGGGATAAAGTCAAATCAAGTTTTTTGCCCAACGAGAAAATCACTGATTTCACCTAACGAGGCAGTAGTTGTTGATCACCGATCAACCACGGTCACTGATCGATCTTCTTTAAGACCTGGACCACGGGAGGCAACAGTTTCCACGTCACTGTGAGCCTCAGTCACTGACTTTGTCTGTGGACTGTGGTGTGGGCGCTGAGCTCATTTCTTCAGTGACCCACAAAGATCAGGTTTCTGTTTTGAAAGCAGTGACATAGATTCAGAGCATCCATAAGTAGAGGCCCTCAGGTGGAGGCCTGGTCTGAACGAGGCTAATTTGACTCGAACAAATCGTAAACTCAGCTCCTCAACAAAACCATTTCCGAAAAAAAGAAAAAAGAAAAGTTATGGAATTGTATGGTATTAGTTCACGCCGGTGTCTTGACAACTGAGCAAAAAATTGCTGAAGAAAGAAGATTGATATTTAGCACCAATAGCTCGCAGAGCTAATAATATGTGGTTAACTCTGGAGTTAGCCACATATTAGTGAAGAGAGAAGTTTCTAAGAACTTCACTCTGCAGTAAAGTTCTTAGAGCAAAACAAGAATCAGTGCCAGGCCTGAAGAAAGAAATAAACACTCAGCTAAGCTAAATTGTAAATAGCAAAGTGTCCGCGCCAAAGGTATGAAAAGCAGCATTAGCCAAAAAACAGGAGGGTTTTACCAAAACGGCAACAGCTGTAGTCGACTCCAGCTGGATTTATGGCATTTAGTTTTTAAATAAAAACAGAAGCGTGGACGACGGCCTTGGTCTGTCTGCGGCTGCTGTGCCTAATCAAACACACTAACGTGACACCAGCTGATGCTCTGCTGCAGACCCGTCTGTTTTTAGGATCGCTGAAGGACGTTGGTGAACACTTTAACCTGTGGAGATCCACACTCTTAGATTCTTACCAAGAGAAGGGCTCTAATCTCCTCTTCCTCTTCATCAGACCGACCAGCTCTGGTAATATCCCTGGTTCACCAAACACAAGCATTAGTTTTGTCCTGTCTGGGATGAGTTAGAAATAAGATCTCTGTATACTCCAGGACACTCAAATATATTCAATAACGGTCAAAATCCTAAAAAAATGTTTTTCAATTTTAACCTTATTCAAACAAACACAACAAAACCATGTGTAAACAAACAGACCTGTGGACTGTTCCCACTTTAATGTTTAGTTTTACCCTGGAAACTTCGGAATTGTCTCTGTTTTGAGCTGGATTTTCACTGTTGCCAGGAGCCAGGACTTGTGGTTAGAGTTTTCAGAGCGAACTTCATCCTGGAACTTCTACGTGAGTTCTTGTGGAAAAGGTAGTGATGCTGCTTATTTTCTTCTCTAATTTGCCAGACGTCGCTCAGATGTCGAAGAGGACAAATAAAAAGGTTCTAGTTATTTCTGTGTAAACATTTTCTGTGGACCACGTTCACTTTCTAACCTTCCGTCAGTCTCCTCCTCTCTCACATTCTTTCCTCAGACACTTTCTTCACCCTCCTCATTTTACCAGGTGCATGCTGGGATCTGGCCAAGTTAAATTCCTGCCTGCTGCCGTTTCACACAGGTACAGAGGTAACTTTACCGTGGCCGCTCGTAGCTCCGCCCACCTCCAGACAATAACCACAGTCTCCAGCAGCTGATGGTCCCGTGGCTACCAGTCAGAAAGGTCAAAGAAATGACCTCACAGGCCGGGGCTGCTGTGACAATAATAACAAATCCATTCCCATCATGCACCAGTGGTGCAGTGGTGAATTGAAGGAGAACTGTCTGCTGGTCTGATCATTGTGGAGACATCGTGATATTGAGAGCTCCTGCCTCTCCCCCCACCCTCCATCTTCACCCCCTCCTCCCCCCACATTTACAACATTACCACCACGCTCCATTATGGACCTCATAACCATCGGCCGACCGATAATATCGGCCCGATATTAGCATAATTTGTTATAATGAAAACCCAATAACACGATGCCTGGGTTTGGCCAAGTGATGTGTATAGTTTATTGCCCCGGCGACAGAGCAGTCAGATGCCTCAGTGTTCTGAGGAACTTTTATTGAAACACAATTGCAGTAACGTGTTCTAAACTCTCAACCCAGCTTCTCCAAAAACACCTTTTCCTCCTCTCACATTCTCCACACTCCCTCTTCCTCGTACACACACGCTCGCCCCACGCCTCCTCACTCCCCCTCCCACAGCCCAACTGTTAACTCCTTCATAACACAGGACATTATGAACAAGCCTCTAGCCACTAGATGGCAGCATGCTAGCTTATTATATCAATCTATATTGATAATCAGGGGATTGTACGCAGAATGCGTCACTTTAGTCAGCAGGTGGCGCTTAACTTCGTTAACCACCAGGTCACCACTGCTACGCATCAGTATCAGTTAATAACGGAATTGGAAATTAAGTGTTTGGACAATATTGACATATCGGTAAAAAGGTAGTATTGAGCAACCCTAATTATTATACAATATATATAATTTATCTTTTTAAATGTCAGTCGTCCTCTTCTTCATCATCTTCATCATCTTCATCATCTTCATCTCTGTTTCTTCTGTCTCTCATTTTCTCACAGTGTGACCTGCCATCAAAGCCCCTCCCAACTCATGTGATGTCACAGCTGTAAGCACTAAGGTGTGTGTGTGTGTGTGTGTGACACTATATAGAGCAGCCTCCCTCTCACTGGGCGATCGACACTGATTCAGTATCATCAAATCTCTCTCTCTCTCTCTCTCTCTCTCTCTCTGCTGTCTAATCGGAATTAAAACAGTTTGCTCTGAGACGTCTGCTGGACAAACCATCTGGTAGGAGATGACTGCACCTGACTAACTGCTGAGAGACTGAAACCAGCTAACTAACTAACTAGATTACTAACTCCTTAACTAACTCATTAACTAACGGACTAATTGAGCAGATAACTGACAGACTGCAAAACTCAATGATTGAGTGGTCAACTAACTAGATAACTAGTTAACTAAAACAATGGTTAACCAACTGACCAGTAGATAAACCTAACCTAACACCCAACTAACTCACTTAGTTAATCCAATAATGAACTGACTGAGTGGTAGTTAATGTGTGTAGAGAGAAGCGTAACTATCAGACTTTGTCACTCAAAGTACTGACCAAAGTACTGACCAAAGTACTGACCAAAGTACTGACCAAAGTACTGACCAAAGTACTGACTAAAGTACTGACCAAAGTACTGAC